GGGTTCAGCCAGCGTTTGCAATGTAAGCGCAAAAAATGTGTTTATTTACGACATCACATTAGAAACCTCTAAAATTATCAGTGTTTCCTTACTATATTATGCATGTATTATACATATAAACCTTCCTCTTGAATCACTCTATCTTTTAAAAAAAGTCGCATCAAAATCCGTTGCGTAGTTTTAATGATTTAAGCATACATAGGGACAGACAGCGGGAAGGCGACTTTGTTTTATACTATTTAATGATGCCAGATTTGACGATGGGTCCAAACCTGGACCAGTAGTGGGAAGTCAAGCATAGACTGGTCCAAAGTTCGGCTAATTTTCTAATGCCAAGGTTAGATACATTACCGTTTCGCCAAATTTGGTCCAATACTGGGGCAACCAAACATTGGCTTGGCAATACTCATCCAAAGTTTGGCCAATCTTCTAAAGCCACGGTTAGGTACATCAACATTTCGCCAAGTTTGGTCCAAAACTGGGTAGTCAAGTATAGTTCTCTCAATACCGGACCAAAGTTCAGTCAAGTTTCAAAAGTCAAAGCTAGGTATATAAACGAATCGCCAAGCTATATCCAATACTGGGCAACGAAGTCTTGACCAAGATAGAAATGGACGCAGTTGTCCAATATTGGATTAATCTTGTTCATCAATATTAATTTGAAATCATTTTTTCCGTACCCGCTACAAACTACCTCAAATTTATGAGGGAAAAAAAATAAAAATCGAAAAAATGATTTCAATTTAATATTGCATATTAATCCACTATTAAGTAACTAACAATGTCATAGGATTTCATATATACTTGTTCATCAAGTCTTTGCATAATGTTGGTATCTCAAACATGGGCTAATATTGTTTATCTGTTCTTGGTCCAATAGTGACTGCCCGATCTTTGGTTTGTTTTGTTCATCATTGGCTGTCTATTCGTGGACCAAACTTGTCAATCAGTCTTTTGCCATGCTTGGTTCGATATGGTTCCCAATCTCGGACCTGAATTGACCAATCTTGGGTCAACTGATGCTGTTCTGATTCTGGTCTAAAGGATGTTGTGGGTTGGTGTTGCTTCCTAACGTTTCGTTAGCACAAGTGGTGAGCTTCTTCAGAAGTCCATCCATCTCCGATGCTGGATACGGACTCATTGGAAGCAACTCCAACACACGACGACCTTTAAACTCGAATCAGAACAACATCAGCTCTCCTAATGGCCGCGAAAACTTTTACCAATTAGTCAATCTTTGGCCAAGCTTCAAAATTCAACAACATACTGTTCCGCCGCCCCTGATTGCTAGTCAGTGTGAATATTTTTAATTATATCAATATATTTATTATTTTTTAAGATTATCAATGATTAGCTTATTATTTTTCATAATTTCAATTATTAATATACTGTGGGTCAATATTTTCAATTATTATTGTTTAATACTTT